GGGAGAGGAGGGGAGGGGGCTGTTTTTGGTGGGGAGGGGGTGTGAGGTTGTTGAGAGGGGAGGTGTGTTGGAGGAGTTGAGGGGGGCGCAGGGGGTGGTTTGGGAGAGGACGATGGAGGTTTTAGGGCCGTATTTATGAGGATGTAGGCGTTGGTTTTGGTTGAGTAGCTTATGTCTTGTTTTCTTTTTAGTTTGAAGTTATTTATAAGTGATTTTGAAGTTGCAATATATCTCTCTCATATTAATACAACGAGTTACACGTCGGCCTAGACAATGGAATCCTTCCACGTCTGGATCAGAGCATCATATGGGAACGCCAAGCATTGATGTTAAAGGTTCCCTAGATGCATACTTCAAAAGTTCACGTTGGATGGTGCTCATGATATGGCTGCAATGCATCCAGCTGTGTTCGGTGGTCACTGGTGGTCGGTCGTAGTGATTACATTTCTCCTGGTCCCAAATTGGCGTGGGGATGTCCCGGCGACCTATAGATTGGGAAACATGGCAATTTTAGCCATGGTTATGCAACCTCTCAGCTGCCTGGGGGGAGTGATCACCAGTCTTTACCTTGATGATCGAGAGTTTTCAATGGTTCTGCTTGCTCTTTTAAGCGTTATACCACTGGGCGCACTCGTGCTTAGTGTATTGGTGGCGTCTTTGCTCGCGAAAATGCTTTTTGGACTTATTACGGTCGTTTCTCTGGTATTAGTTGTGCTTTTGTTCATTGAGATTAGTTTTGTCCGCCTTTGGCGGTTGTCACTGGTAACGTTTTGTCGATGGGACATTTGCTGGGTTCTTCACATATTTTGCGACAATGCGTAGTGTTACGCGAGTAAGATCCATTGAAATCTTCATCTTACGCCTTGACCACGAGAGCCCGGTGGCTTTGTGGTGTTTGTGTGAAAGGTTGTTGCAGGTTGGGTGAATTCGACGTTGTTCTTTTATGGGAGCATTGTGTTACTGCATTGAAGTAGCATGCATGTCTGTAGTTGCTCAATTTTTACCAGAAACCTTGTACTGTGAGGTATACAGAGTCATCTCTCATCCTCCAGTGGTAGTAGCCACCGCATCTACTATGATTCAGACAAAATCGTTGATCGTGTAGTGACTAGAGGTCTCGCCAACTCGCATGTCTTGGAACATTGGGCCCCGGCGGTACTTGGAGGAATACGTCATGGCCAGTCATACACATCGGTATAACTGACAAGTAAAGTGATCTGGTTTAGGCTAAGATGCCATGCCGCCAATGAGAAGGATCATGATTTCGCTGGAAGCCATGGGTTGTTAAGCTGCACTCCCAACACTAAGTATCAAACCAGGAAGGATGGGGCCAGGTTCGTACTTGGTCCAATAGTGCTACCAAATAACTAGGTTGATTCCGTCTGATTGGTTGGGAGTGCGATATTCCTTATCAAGCCGTTGTGCCACAACCAGAGGTGTGCCATTAAGGAAGTTTGGGTGTGGTGCGAGCTGACTCACTGTGGTTTTGGCTACACGCGATGCACAGAAAACTGACAAGGCTTCGGCTGACAACCTTCAAGATGAAGATGACGTCGACCGGCTCTTCGCTTACATGCCGTGCTACCAGACTAGCACGGTGCGCGTAAGCTGCTTCCAATCGAAATCAACATAGCGTTCCTCTCAGCGCACGCAGCCTGATGTCGCGACCAGGGGCTTCGTTCTAGGTCGGTCTGCATACATGGAAATATGCACGCAAGAAGACAGTAATTCCTTTAAAAGCGGGCATGATGTCCCTGGATCGCCCACCCTGTGCGGGAGTAGACAGCCTTTCTGATCTGTTTTGAGTTGTAACTCTTGATGCTGGATATTCGTTTTTCTGACAGTGTCTACAATTTTCGATGATATCCATTCTATCAATCCGCCAGGAACCGAATGGTTCAATTTGCGCGAAAGATTGTTCTGCCACAGCGGGCGAATTGCATGCGAATGCTGACGTTGGTGGCGTTGGGGTAAGTAGCCTAGGCAGGAATGCGTGGATCATGCCATTACTAAACTCTTGACTCTCGAGTCATATAATTACTGACAGGTTTCTTGAATCATTAGGTGTTAGTAGGTTTTATGGCCACAGCATGGCTTGTGGTTCTCTCTCCTTGTCATCTTCCGTTACTCTCTTGCTTTCGACCCTGCCGCCGATCCACTCGCCAACCGAAGACGAGATCGAATACATAGCCGTAGGCACGCTTTGAGACCCAATGCTGTTGATGTCAAGGCTGTGGGCATCTTCAAGGGACTTCGTGGACGTCTTGGTCATTATTCGCACTGGGAAATGGCTTTGACGAAGGTAGTCAGATTTTCGTAATATGGTTCGGAAAACTCGCTAATCAAACAGACACAGATATTTCTCAAACTATGCGATATTCAACTCTTAACCGGATTTGGCCTTCTGTTTAGTAGCTTCGTCAGCTTGACGTGCTATATGTCGGCATATCACTGGCAAATCATCACGTATTTAGTATGGTTTTCAAACCTGACGCATGCTGCCTGCCTCACAGCCCTACGACAGTATTTGTACCAGCATCAAATGGAGCGAAACTTTCGTATGGTCTTGATGGTGATTCTACTGGCTGGGTTGATTACAGCCATAATACCGACCGGGTATTTCAATTGTGGGGACAACGGTGACTACATAATACGGGGTCAAGGGACGGCAAGCGTGCCAGCCTCTAATGCTCGGCGCTTTTTCAGCCAAAGGCGGATTCAATCCGCGTGGGAAAGCCGTCTCTGCAAAGAAGGCGAAAGCCCTTACACTGATGACGCTGACGACGGGTACCCCTGCAATGAATATCAGCACTCCTCGGGCGCTCCACTAGCCACCACAGCCTACGAGTCGTCCATTCTTTCAGTACTCCTCTTGACGCTTAGCTTTTCCAGTCGCTCAGTCAAAATGTTCCGCGTACTTTCAGAGATAGCCAAGGATACTATTCGACAGAAAATTGGGCACTGGGCAGTGTCTTGTCTCACTGCCACGGTTACAGGCTACCGGCGTTTCGGAACCACGGCGTTGCGACGGAAGCTTTTGGCTATATTTCGGCCTTTAGACCTGATGATTGCGCTATACCTAGTCGTCAAACTGTATCTGGACATGTTCTTATCAGAGTTAGCAGATGTAAGTACCGCCTGATCATACCGTTCCAGGTTGTTGAAAAACTTCCGGATAAGATCAAATGACTTCTCCACGGAACAGGGCGTACTAAAAGTCAGAGTGTGCAGGTTTTCTGGCTATTGATATCTTCACTATGGGGCACTGTTCGTCTTTTCTTAGCACGAGAATCCGCTGATGTCTATGGAGAAGAAAATGAATGGGGCTTCGGACAGGTCTTGTCCGTATTTCTTCTCTTAGGCCCAATCATGACGGTTTCCATAACCGTTTTCGCCACTATTAGAAGTCAAAAGAGATTTAGAAAACAAGAGGAGGATGGCGAATCTATCAGACAAGCGGCGTCGTTGCTTACTGCCTATCGAAATGGTAAACCGAAGCTTTGATTTTCACAAGACAAAGCACTAATTCCGAAACAGAGATCATGGCTGCACAGCGGGAAGACAGCGACGTATTACATCGAGTGTCAAGCCTTCTCCGAGACATCGAGTCAGAGTCGGGTATCAAAAGAACAACTGATAGAAGACTCTCTTCACAAACCGAGCTGGAAGATATTCCTCTGGACGAGTTCCAGCAATTCCCAGATGACGCAAGAAGTACCGAAGTCAATGGTGTGTCAGAGACGATATTCTCATCTAGGATGCACTCAGATAATGAGGAGGGCATTGTTAAGTTGCCAAATCAAGACACAGTGACTGGAATGGGATATGTGGACATGCGAGCATCACTTTCTTTCCGCTTCTCGCAGTCTCAGTGGATGACTATCGTAATGTGGTTTTTCTCTCTTCAATTTCTCGCATTGGTGATCATTGTATTCTTGTTCTTGGCAATCGACTTCGAAAAACCTTCTTCCTTGCTGAAAGGTTCTATCTTCTCGATTTTTATTGTACAGCCCTTAAATTGTTTTATTGCGGTGGCGCTCGGACTATACATGGGCGATGGTCGAGCGTCGAAGTTCCAAATGCCACTGCTTTGTATTCTGCTCTTCATATTTCTGCTTGGCTGGAGTGTCGTCACTGTCCTTCCCTTTATGTCGAGCCTTTTTATGTGGTACTATGCATTCGGCCCCTTGATTATTACAATCATTCAGTTTCTGTATCTAGGCTTTCGATAGTTGGAAATATAAAGCAGGTGTGGGCTTTGTCTGGTATATTTAGGGGAGTTTCCACGTAAATAGTGTACGAGGCAAGAAATTAACCCACAAGAAGTGCTTTGGTATTTGGCACCGTCGTGAAGCCATTTCCCTTCCCTCAATGCCACCTAGATCTACCTCATAGGAACTGGGTTTATTAGTCTCAACCGCGACGATGATCTGAAAGTGATTGCACGATTTATCAATGCTAGGTATGCTGCCCTACCCCATCGAGTGCGAGTAGACCCCTGTACACGGCCCTCCAGTCTTTCTCCAATCTCATCGACCACAAAATTAGTCATTCGCTAGAGAAAAGTGTCATCTCTCTACGTGTGAGTTGATTAGAGATTGCCCCGTACGCCTTTGTACCGTACTCCACTCGCACTCGATGGGATATTACAACCTAATAGAAAGTTGAAGTACCGGGCAAACAGCAACCTCAAGCTAGCGCACCACAGACTCCAACCAATGTACCAAAAAAGGCAAGCAATGACCTATTCCAATCAGTCCGACCCCAGTCCGCTACGAGCTCCTTCAAGTCCGTCTTCTCGCCTTCAGTAGCTCTAAGCTGCCAGTTGATCGCCTCGTTAAATGGGTACGACACGAAGATGGTGTATGGCACTATTGCCCCGACGATGCAGGTCGCAGCAGCAAACAGCGGGAATCGAAGGCTTCCGGTCTTCATGGGTTCAGTGTAGGCCAAGTAGGCAAAGCTGGCGGCAGTGCCAGTGACGACAACCTTCCCGACGTATCGGCCGACGTCCCAGGCGCGCTTCCACTGCTGAGCGACCAGAGGTGACGGCGCCGTCTTAACCGCGGGCATGAAGACAAAAGCGCCACTGAAATAGTAACCTGTGACGTTGGCACGTTAGACGATGCTGGGAGGGCGAATTAGCTTGAGAACTGACCACACATGAACCCTGCCAGGGTGAGGGTGAGGGCTTCGGGAGAAACAGGCATGATGATGATTGATTAAGAAGTAGTTGATGTGTGATTGTGTTGTTTTCACCGCCGGTGAGAAAGAGTACTTCAAACGACGGTTTGCTTCCAGATAAATATTTCCACCGCCGTTGAGATCCGAATCATCGGCTTCTCGGGCGGAGCCGGGCATTGCCGTTTTAGGAAGTTTCCGTGCGGCCTGAACATTATCCCCATGTTTCGGAGCAAAGTCAAGGAGTCCTACTATCCCAGTCTAGCTTAGTTTCCACATCTCTTTCAGAATCATCCTGCTCAACTTTGTCCTTTTATTCCCCGTTGGATGCTCGATTTTCCAGGTCATCTGAGATCTCGTGGACCCACCTACATAAGTTGGCCGTGGGACCGATGGTGAACCCAGTGTAAGTATTACACCGAAATGACGACAGTAGTGCTCCATGTGCCTTAGGATCATCACAACAATGAAGTTTGAGATTTATATTTAGCATAGCGCCCTAAGCATTGGGTTGACTCTCATGCTCAATCCCGGGCACGTCCCAGTCAACCATCAATGCCAGAGAATCAGCTAAAGACATTCCCTCCTGATTCCACTCAATAGGATGACTGAGAAGTTCCTCTTCTGTCATCGGTCCATCCACAACTAGCGAGTCCGGTTGGACAGTGCCCAAACTCCCAATCGATGGCACCTGAGATTTGGTTTGCTGGCTGGGACCGGGTTGTCCTGAGAACATGTTGGAAGCCAAGTCCAAGAGCGATGACAACTGAGAAATCAACTCGGTGAAAGACTCATTGTCCCACCTCACGTTCACCAATCCTTGTATTACCTCTGACAAGAGGAGATATGTATCAACGTCACTCTGTGCTATCATATATCCGTACAGGATGAAATAGGGGTTCATTGGATAGAACAGCAATTTCCTTGTCATTGTTAGCAGCTGGCACAAATAAAATGTGAGGGTGCATTGAAGGGTAATCACCATGAGATGGACAGTTTGATGGCGTAGCCGTCTGGTCCCGTTGATAGATATGATAACGCGAAGAGGAGATATCTCAGGGAGTCCCGAGCATGAGCCAGTAATTCGTTCTGCCTGTGTGAATTACTCGAAGCCGGCAAGTCGAGTTGCACAACGGAAGTCATAATTGCAGACGCAGCGTACGACGTTGCTGCAGCCTCGCCAGGCCAAAACGGATCAGTTTCGCAAACGCAACGAAACTACAAATTGAAATTAGCGAGATACCTTATCATTGGCACGACTTGAAATCTTGACCTTTTCCAGATCACCCCTGATTTCATGCACCGTGCGCTCCAAGTTCTCAACTTGCTCCGAGTAGACATTGATATTCTTTGGGTGCCGGAGAGCACGAACAACCGCATCCTGAACTTCAGCCATGTCAGAGAACAAGTTGTAGAGGCCTTGAACGGGACCTATGGAGTCCTGCGGAACAGTTGTTTTCGGAATACGCCCCGGACCAAGTGACGGTGCTCGATCCATGGTCTGGGACAAGGTCTTGTCAAGAATATAGCACAGCTCGACGGCATGCTGTGTGTCTGATTGACCTGCAGGAATTGCCTCTGAAACCCTCACGGAGGAATCACTGCGTGGGAGAGATTCATACACTCGACAGGCTGCCGCCTTAAAAGTCCATGCTCTCTCGAAGCACCGAACGTTGAAAGCGAACATCGCCTAAAGCCGGAACGACTGATCAACGTGTGTTTTCTCAATGATGGTACATATAAACTTACCCCCGATAAGAGGGCCTGGAAGAGCGCAGTGGTTGGCAAGTCGGCCACACTCATACGCTGGAGACCATAGATGATGTTCTGTTCGTAAGTCAACGTACCCACTTCCGAAACACCCCCCCATGCGAAACACCAAAAAATAATGCTATCGCAACAACACCACCAATTTCAATTAACTATCAACGAGGTAAAGTTGCAACCACTATGCAGCTTTCGGCCTCACTAGG